AAGGGAAAAGGGAAGGGGAAAGGAAGAGGGGGAGAGGAAGGGGAGAAGAGAAAGGGAAAGAGAAAAGGAGAGCGGAAAAGGAGAGCGGAAGGAGAAGGGGAAGGGGAAGGGGAAGAGGAAGGGGAAGGGGAAGGAGAAGGAGAAGGAGAAGAAAAAGAAAGACAAGGACAAAGGTAAAAACAAAGAGAGGGAGAAGGAGAAGGGGATAGGGGAAAGGGAAAGGGAAAAGGGAAATGGAGAAGGAGACGGGAAGAGGAGGAAGGGCAAGGGAGAAGGAAGGGGAGAAGGGAAAGGGAGAGGGGAAGGGAAAAGGGAGAGGGGAAGGGAAAAGGGAGAGGGGAAAGAGAAGGGGAAGGGGAAAGGGAGAGGGGAGGGGGAAGGGAAAGGCAAGGGGAGAAGGGGAAGGGGAAGAGGAAGGGGAAGGGGAAGGGGAAGGGAAAGGGAGAGGGGGAAAGCAGAAAGGGAGAGGGAAAGCAGAAAGGGAGAGGGGGAAGGGGAGAAGGGAAAGGGAGAGGGGAAGAGGAAGGGGAAAAGGGAAAGGGAGAGGGAAAGCAGAAAGGGAGAGGGGAAAGGGAGAGGGAAAGCAGAAAGGGAGAGGGGAAAGGGAGAGGGGGAGGCGAAAGGGAGAGGGGGAGGCGAAAGGAAGAGGGGAGGGGGAAGGGAAAAGGGAGAGGGGAAAGGGAGAGGGGAAGAAGAAGGGGAGAGGGGGAAGGGGAGAAGGGAAAAGGGAGAGGGAAAGCAGAAAGGGAGAGGGAAAGCAGAAAGGGAGAGGGGGAAGGGAAAAGGGAGAGGGGGAAGGGAAAAGGGAGAGGGGAAAGGGAGAGGGAAAGCAGAAAGGGAAAGGGAGAGGGAAAGCAGAAAGGGAGAGGGGGAAGGGAAAAGGGAGAGGGGAAAGGGAGAGGGGGAGGCGAAAGGAAGAGGGGAGGGGGGAAGGGAAAAGGAGAGGGGAAGAGGAAGAGGAAGGAGAAGGGGAAGGTGATCAGTGATCCTTGAAAAAAGAGAGAAATTTAAAGCTAAGGAATAGTATATAATAAGTGAACTTTTTCTATAATCGAAATTTGAACATGACGAGACTTTCAATCTTCAAGCTCGTGATAGAACCCTCCCTTCTTCCCTCCCTCCCTCCCTCCCTCCCTTTCCCCTTCCCCTTCCCCCCCTTCCCTCCCTCCCTCCCTTCCTCTCCCCTTCCCCCTCCCCCCCCTTCCCTCCCTCCCTTCCTCTCCCAGCAATACGAAGGAACCCCTCCCCCCTCCCCCTCCCCCCAGCACGCTCTCTCCCTCGCAGCTGTTTCATAAATAGAGGAGCTCCGGAGGGTCGCTGCTGCCCTCTACCGGCGGCGGCGATAACTACAAAGGAGACGAGGGGGTTTAAAGAGTTGACAGAGAGATGGCGTTGCGCAGGATTGTACCTTACACATCACCAGGTACTACGAGAATTTAAGTATGTATGCTAAGCTGCCCTTGGACGTGAGTCAACGGCACAGATGGGCTACGGAGCGGGAGGGAGGAAGGAGGAGAAGGCACCGGCGAGGAATTCTTTTTTTTTCCTTTACAATGCGGCCGCTTGAGGGAGCCAGTCAGGCGCTCTGTCTACTGTCTGTTGCATCGGGTCACGCGTGTGCGCATTTCTCTTTTGTCTTGGTTTCTGTGTTTCTTATTTTTGGTTTCGTTTTTTTTGTTTGTCGATTTCTGTCTGACTGTCTGTCTGTCTGTCTCTGTCTGTCTGTCTGTCTGTCTGTCTGTCTGTCTGTCTCTCTCTCTCTCTCTCTCTCTCTCTCTCTCTCTCTCTCTCTCTCTCTCTCTCTCTCTCTCTACCTCTCTTTCTCTCTTTTTCTCTCTTTCCGACTCTCTCTCTCGCTCTCATTATCTCTCTCTCTCTCTCTCTCTCTCTCTCTCTCTCTCTCTCTCTCTCTCTCTCTCTCTCTCTCTCTCTCATTCTTTCTCTCTCTCTCTCATTCTTTCTCTCTATCAATCTATCTATCTTTCAATCTATCCATCTATCTGGTTTCGTTTTTTATATATTTTTTTTTTTGGCCTTGTTTACAGATTCGATTTTCCTTGACGCTTTTTTTTCCTGAATTACTTCATTCTAGCCTTGTTTTCGACATCCTTTCCCTTGCTTCTTTCAAAATCATTTTTTTTTCTTTCGCCTTTTTTTTAAACCTTCAAAATATATATTTTCAAAAACTTACCCTCTCGTCGGAATTTAACTACATTTTATCAGAGTTCGTGATTAGGGATTTCAATCTGTCTTTTGTTTTCATGACCTTGCTACAATGTTAATTAGTTAATAAGACTTTGCACTCACATCTCACTTCCATTAAATCGTCCTTCTTTATCTTTTCAATCAGGACAATTAAGTAATTAGTTCATCAATTATGTTGATTATAGTTAATCAAGCTATGCATGTGTTTGTTTTCGCTTCTAAATCCCTCAGCATATGGTCATTTAAGTATAACGTTGGTCTATTGCTATAACTACCATTTCACACTTTTGTTAAT